AGATAAATATGGTCCAAATCTGAATATCCATTTTTGATTAGTTTGAAGTTTCTCTTCCTTTTGCCTCAGGAGGTAACACCTGGTCATGGGAGGAAATCACACACCAATTAAATTCATCCTGTTGGGAATTACAAACAGACCATGGCTGCAGACTCCTCTTTTTGTCTTGTTTCTATTGACTTACATTGTCACTTTTGTGGGAAACATCGGCATTATCACACTGGTGCGGGAGGCTCCCAGCCTCCACACCCCCATGTACTTCTTCCTCACCCATTTTGCCTTCATTGACATCTGCTATTCCACAGTCATCTCCCCCAGGATGCTGGCAGACCTGTTAGCAGAGGACAAAACCATTTCTTTCACTGCCTGCATGATGCAATTCTTCACACTAGCTTTCTTGGCTACTATCGAGTGTCACCTGCTGGCCATGATGGCCTATGACCGGCACGTTGCCATCTGCCAGCCTCTGCTTTATGTGACCATCATCTCCAGCCGTGTCTGCTGGCAGCTGGTAGCATCATCCTACCTATTCGCCTTCTTCAGTGCCATCATCTACACATGGTGCGTGTTTGGAGGTTCCTTCTGTGGTGCCAACCGCATTGACCACTTCTTCTGTGATGTTGTCCCTGTACTAAAGCTCGTGTGCTCTGACACCCACAGCAGTGAGATGGTCTTCTTCACCTTCATCACCATCAATGAGGTGGGCACGAGCGTGGTCATTTTGCTCTCCTACATCTCTATCATCCGCACCGTGCTGAGGATGTGCTCAGCACAGAGCAGGGCCAGAGCCTTCCACACCTGCGCCTCCCATTTGATGGCTGTTTCCATGTACTTTGGGTCAGCATTCTTCATGTACCTACAACCTCCATCTAGCCACAGGAGCCTGGATAAGGTGGCCTCCATCTTCTATGCCGTAGTCACTCCCATGCTCAACCCATTCATCTACAGCCTGAGGAACAAGGAGGTGAAGCGGGCTCTGGTGAATTGTGGGAGGAGGTTCTTCATCCACTGGCAACATAGAAGAGTTTTGCCATCCAGAACATGAGCAGTTCATCTCAAGTGAGACAGCCTATGGGGCACCAAACCAAAGGGATTTTTACAGTAATCCCCATGATTTAATGAAGTTTCTGCCACAGTGCCTGAACAAAAGTCAATTACAGTATTGAGCAAGAAACAGAGTCCCCAAATCACATCGTCCTTCCTCTGAAGGAAACCAAGAGTAGTGGAACTTCAGTCTTCATTTCACTTTGCAGTCACTAGCCTGTAGGAACAAATTTCCCTCAATTATCCCAGGCCTCCTTTTCTCAGAGGGAACACCAATCAGCTGTCTTCAGTCCTAACTTTTGTCACTGATATAGATGTCTTTTTCTTGCAAGATTCTTGACCTTGTCCCTCTGCTCCAATAAAATCCCTTACTCTTACCTGTGAGCTCTTTATTAAAGCTGCTGGGGTGGGAGGGAAGAGGAAGTGGAGTTTTACATTTGCTTGCTGAAAAAGAGTCGGAGAAAAGGTTTCAAAAGATTCATTGCATTTGTTTGTGCCTTTCAAAGAGAGGAAGCTGGTGGGAATCAAGGTCTCAGGTTGCACCTTTGTATATCATGGGGAAGCCCTCCCCAGTTTGCAATTTCATAAGAGATTTCACTTAAAGGAAGAAAGCATAGACAATATAATTCATAATACAGGATGATGAACTGTGCTGAGACCACCCAGTGTTAAGGACAATCTGGGCACATCCAGGGTTCCTCACATTCATGTTAAGGGGTGTTTTATATTCATTTGATGTGACCTTTTACCTAAATGGTGAGAAAATAGAGTACCACATGGAAATCAGCACCCACATCCCATATCCATGCCCAGCTCATGCTAAAATACACTAGGAAAACCAAATGGTGCATTTCACTTGTAACTTAAACATGGCAAGTTTCCATAGATGAAAGACAATCCTGAACACACAATTGATGGTATCTGAGAGGTGGCTGGGTCTGAAAGAAGCCAAAACACACTGGTGGGGGAAAATCTTTCCTTTACCTGTAGTAAGTGGAATTAACTTAAATTCAGAAAGTATATGGATGGTGAGCAGCCTCTTCAGTGTGCTCTGGCAAACAGCAGCAAGAGGGGAGATGTCTTTTGTCTCTGTGAAAGTGGCTTCCACCTGTGCTGAATGAAAGAGCCAGAATGGATATAGTTAAATGCTGAAGAGCTGGGCAGGACAGAGACCTTTGACATCAGAGAGCTGCCTTTAAAAACTTCACCACACCTTGTTTTCTTCCTTCTATTTTGTTGGATATTTCTGCTTAGACTAGACCTACAGAATCTTAGAGCCATAAAAAGCCCAACTTGGTTCCAAAGATATGTGGAAAAGGGAGTCTAGATGAGCAGTGTCATGTGAAGGGCTCATCACTGCTTAATGAATTGCCCCCCTCTGGTATCCTCATTTCCTCTTGGCTTTAATAAAGTTTCCATAGCAGAGACAACGGAAATGCTCGAACATTTACCCAGACTTGATGCTATGTTCCTAAGAGAGGCCTGGATTGCCATAGTCTTGTATGCAGTGGATTCAACTTTGTGAATGTCCAAGAGGAACCAAATGTGCAGGAGAGGCAGAATTGTGAATTCCAGCAATACAAGAAACAGTGCTGAGGTTTTGGAAATACATTTTATACTGAGCGCATCATTGCATGATTCTGCTTCAGTCTTTGCAGGGAAAGGGTCTACATCATGCAGAAACTCCTGGCTGTAGACACAAAATTCCCACACCAAATACATAACAGAGGTCCTGCCATGGAAGTCTAATATCATACATGCTAAAAGAGAAGAAACTAATGACCAGAGAAAACCACTGGGAAATAAAATTCCCCTTACTACTCTATTTCCCTCACTGAGAAGAATAACTGGTTTTTCACCCATGCAGGGTCATGGTCTGGACAGAGAGGGACTGCCAGAGCAGTGAGCACTGGCTGGGCTGTTGGGTGCAGAGGGTGGCAGGTTCTACCCTGCAGGAACAGAGGACAGCCACGGGTCTTTGTTTCCTCAATATCTTTAAACAGAGACAAAGGAGAACATCACTGTGCGTAGGGACACTCCCACAGTACCTGAGCAAGAGAAGTAGGGCGGGAACAGAGACCTGGGCCAAGTTCAGCCAAGACTCCAGAGCATCAGGAAAGTTGGTGATGATGGGGCAGACACAAGACAGAGCCAAGTCAATCCCCTGGTCAGCATCCTGACCAGCAATTGCAAAACAGATCCATGCTGAAGCCTACATCACCAACAAAGAATTCCAAAGACACGCACATCTCCTGCTAAACTGGAAACCAGAACTCTTCTAACATAGCCCAACCTCCCTGGGCTGAGCTTAAACAGAGAGGGGGGGAAATGGGCAGAGAGAACCCCAGCTGAGGCTGCTCAGGGGGATAAAGGCCTATAAGTTCATCCTGGGGCAATTCATCCCTGCCTCAAAAAGCCCCTTTCTCACTTCTGGGGAAGCCCAGAGTCACCAGCTCAGGTGTTGGAAATCCAAGCACTAGATGTGGATAAGCCCAGTGGGGATGGAAAATTGGGCTCTCAAATGTCCACAGAGGGACAGCAGCAAATCCAGAGATGGAGTCACTTGTGCTTCAGTTTCTATTTGAGGACCCTCTGCAAGATCTGAAATATCTCTAAACCCATTCTCATTCTGTTGCCAATGTCAAAGTGAAAACATTGCATGGTGCAAAAGTACGTCAGAATCATCATGTAAGCTGCTCATCACTGCTGCTGTGTAGCTGTGCTCAGGTTTGGCTCATGCACGCCATGCCTCAGATGCCCAAGCACCACAATGCCTTTCAGAGGTGATTTCACACCCTTTGCTTTTCCTTCTCTTTGTTTTCCTCTGGGAAAGCATGAGCATCCCTGGAGGCTTCCTCCCAGGAGAGCACATGCAACTGTATTTACAGCCCCAGCACCACAAGCTGGGCTCTTGGAGTCTGGCAGGAGCTCCCCTCTCTTCACATCAGGTGCTTAACAGAGCTCAGGCCGGCACGTAGATGTTCTCTGCTGCACTGGGGATAAACTCTTGGCTCCGATCACTCAGTGGCAGAAGGAAGGCACAAGAGGTAACACCAACAAACAGCAGAGCCTCACCTGCACTGAGGCAGTGGGCTTGTGTCTGCATGTTCTCGTGTCCTCTTTAGGAAAGCTGCTCCAGAAAACAGCCTTACCAATGGGCGGTTTATTTAAAAGAAGAGGGAGCAATGTCTGATGCAGGTTGTGTTTCTTTTACATGGGCAGCTAAAGCAAGAGGCACTGATTTATTCAAGAGTTAAATGAGGATGAATCTTATTTTGTTATAAAGAAATGCAACAGTTCAGACTGCCAGCAGTATATGGTCACTAACACATCAGGCTCTGGAATCAACCTTTTATAACATCAAGTACTTTTTAAAGCAAGCAACTTAATGCCCATGGGTTTAGGATGTTTCAGCTTGCTGGAGCTCAGGGAATTATAAATCATGTATTTATCCATGTGAATGTTGTCTGTTGTAAATGATCTCAAATATTCTGATAAATGTGATTTGGTGGCTGGAATGATAACTAAAAGCCGAGGGAAAATGTCTGGAGGACATAGATGTGTAAGCTGGGATTTCACTGGGAATGGGACTTCCTCTTGCTTCAGGTTTACGTTCAATCCTATGAGGCTCTTCTGAGGTGTTTCTGACACAAAGTGCCTCTAATCTTAAGGTGATGGAATATCTGATTCTTTTCTAAAACATAAAGAACCAACATCAGTGAATAAATCCAGAGTTTTAATTGCCTCAGCATAGAAACCTGAAAAATAGTATTTGTTGCTTCAATGTGCTCTTGGTTACTTTTTAAATACCTCAAGATAAAACCATAAAGTATATATAACTTGGGTGAAAAAATATAGTAGAATATACTAAAATGTAATAGTTTTAATGGTCACCGATTGGAAGTAGATATGGTCCAAATCTGAATCTCCATTTTTGGATATTTTGATGTTTCGCTTCCTTTTGCCTCAGCAGGTAACACCTGGTCATGGGAGGAAATCACACCCAGGTTGAATTCATCCTGTTGGGAATTACAGAAAGCCCACATGCCCAGACCCCTCTTTTTGTCTTGTTTCTATTGATTTACATTGTCACTCAGGTGGGGAACTTCGGCATTATCATCTTGGTGCGGGTGTCTCCCAGTCTCCACACCCCCATGTACTTCTTCCTCACCCATTTTGCCTTCACTGACATCTGCTATTCCACAGTCATCTCCCCCAGGATGCTGGCAGACCTGTTAGCAGAGGACAAAACCATTTCTTTCACTGCCTGCATGATTCAGTTCTTCACCTTTGCATTTTTTAGTACTATCGAGTGTCACCTCCTGGCCATGATGGCCTATGACCGGCACATTGCCATCTGCCAGCCCCTGCTTTATGTGACCATCATCTCCAGCCGTGTCTGCTGGCAGCTGATAGCAGCATCCTACCTGTTCGCCTTCCTCAGTGCCATCATCTACACATGGTGCACCTTTGGAGGTTCCTTCTGTGGTCACAACCACATCGACCACTTCTTCTGTGATGAAGTTCCTGTGCTAAAGCTCGTGTGCTCTGACACCCACACCAGTGAAATGCTTGTTTTTGTCTTCGTCACCATAAATGCAGTGGGTGCAAGCATGATCATTTTGCTCTCCTACATCTCTATCCTTCGCACAGTGCTGAGGATGTGCTCAGCACAGAGCAGGGCCAGAGCCTTCCACACCTGTGCCTCCCATTTGATGGCTGTTTCCATGTACTTTGGGACAGGATTATTCATGTACCTGCAACCTCCATCTAGCCACAGGAGCCTGGATAAGGTGGCCTCCGTGTTCTATACTGTGCTCATCCCCATGCTCAACCCATTCATCTACAGTCTGAGGAACAAGGATGTGATGGGTTCTCTGGTGAAGTTTGGGAGGAGGTTACTCAACCACTGGCAACACAGAATATTTTTGTCATCCAGTACATGAACATTTCATCTCAAGTGAGAAAGACTATGAGGCATGAAATCAAAGGGATTTTCCAAGTAATCCCAGTCATTTGATGTGGATTCTTCCACAGTTCCTGCACAAAACTCAATTACAGTATTTAATGAGATATAGATGACACCCACCCCCCCCCAGGTCACATCTTCCTTCCTTGGAAGGAAACCAAGAGTAGAGGAACCTCAAACTTCATTTCACTTTGCAGTCACCAGCCTGTAGAAACAAATTTCCCTCAATTACCCAAAGCCTCTTTTTCTCGCAGGAAACACCAATCAGCTGTCCTCAGTCCTAACTTTTGTCACTGATAAAGATGCCTTTTTCTTGCAAGATACTTGACCTTGTCCCTCTGCTCCAATAAAACCCCTCACTCTTACCTCTGAGTTCTTTATTAAAGCTGCTGGGGTGGGAGGGAAGAGGAAGTGTAGTTTTACATTTGCTTGCTGAAAAAGAGTCAGAGAAAAGGTTTCAAATGATTCACTGCATTTGTTTTGCCTTTCAAAGAGCAGAAGCTGGTGGGAATCAAGGTCTCAAGCTGCACCTTTGAATATCAAAGGGAATCCCTCCCAAGCTGCAGCTTCACAGGAGATTTCACTTAGTTATTGTAGGCAATTGTTCCAGAGTTTGAGGATTCTGGGTTGAGAGAAATGCAACCTGATAATGAATCACAACGGGTTTAGTAATACAGGGAAAATACAGAAATAACAAAAGATACAGTAAAGGATAATTCTGATGGTTGGTTATCTCACCAACCCCAAAGACCATGTAATGACGATCAGGAAACCAGCTCTGAGAAACATCATCACAGTGCGAGGTGGCAGGCTCAACATAAGCAGGGGTTCCTGTGAAGGCAGTGTTGACCTGGGTGGTATGAGGTTCTGCCTCCACACACTGCATGAGGCTCGGGCTTTTATACTAGCAGAAATGCACACTCATTCTGATGCAGGGGTCCAGCCCTCATCGGAAGAAGAGGCCAGCAATACCTAGAAAGGTCTCCGAGGGCTGGGACTTTTCCAGGGATCAGCCAAAGCGGGATCTAACAGAGAGGAGCCACCACAGACAAACAGTACTTGTCCATTTTTGTGTGTTTCACCATGGGCCATTATCTGGTGTCACTGACACAGCAACAGAATTCATAATAACAGTGATGAACTGTGCTGAGAGCACCCAGTGTGAAGGACAATTTGGGCACATCAAGGGATCCTCCCATTCACTTTAAGGGGTGTTTTACATTCATCTTAAGTGCCGTTTACTTAAATGGTGTGATACATGCAATTCCATTTGGAGATAAGCACCTATATCCCATGTCCATCCCCAGCTCATGCTCAAGCACACCAGGAAAACCAAATTGTCTATTTCCCATAAGAATTAATTCTGTAGAAAGATTCCATGGATGAAAGATAAAACTGAACCCAGAATCGATCGTAACTGAGAGCTGTCTGGGTCAGAAAGAAGCAAAAAAACACTGGTGTGGGAATACATTTTTCCTTTACCTGTTGGAGTGAGAATTAACTTACATTTGGGAAGCACACGGGTCGTGAACAGTGTCCTTTGTGTGCTCTGGAAAACAGTAGTGAGAGGTCTGGGGAAAAGTGGCTTCTACCTGTGTCAGTGAGGGAGCCAGAATTGATGTAATTACTTGCTGACAAGCTTGGCAGGACAGAGAAATCTTGCACCACACCTTATTTTCTTCCTCTTATTTTGTCCCATACTGTAGCTGAGACATATAGTACAAATAGAATCATAGAGCCACAAAGAACCCAGGTTTCACCTCAAGAGATCATCTGGTCCAAGCTTTAATGGGAAAGGGAGCTTAGATGAGAAGTGTCACTTGTAGGAGTCATCGCTGCTTGAAAAATTACCCCACTATGGTGTTCTTATCCCCTCCTTGGTTTAAGAAAGATTCCAAAGCAGAGACATGTGAAATGCTTAAAGGTTTACCTAGACATGGTGCTGCATTCCTAAGAGAGGCCTGGATTGCCATAGTCTTGCATGTGGTGGATTCAGCTCAGGGAACTCCCAAGAGGAGCCTCAGTCTAACGTACAGGGGAGGAACAATTGTCAATTCCAGCAACACAAGAAACAGGCTTGGGGTTCTGGAAATACGTTTTATGACAAAAGCATCATTGCATGATTCTGCTTCAATCTTTGCAAAGAAGGGATCTGAAAATTCAGAATCCCCTGGCTGTAGACACAAAATTCCCATACCAGGTAGATAACAGAGGTCCTGCCATAAAAGTCTAATAATATACTTGGTAAAACAGAATTAACTAACGACCAGAGATAAATATTGGGAAAAAGTTCCCCTTAGTACTCTATTTCTGTCACAGAGAAGAATAACTCCTTTTTTAGCCATGCAGGAACACAGTCTGGATGGAGAGGGACTGCCATGGCAGTGAGCAGTGGTTGGGCTGTTGGGTGCAGAGGGTGATGGGTTCTACTCTGCAGGAGCCTGGGGAATGCCACAGGGCTTTGTTTCCTTAATCTCTTTAAACAGAGACAAAGAAGAACACCACGGTGTGTAGGAACCATCCCACAGTACCTGAGAGAGAGAAATAGGGCAGGAATAGAGACCTAGGCCAAGAGCAGCAAAGACTCCAAAGCATCAGGAAAGTTGTGATGATGAAGCAGACACAAGACCAAGCCAAGTCAATCCCCTGCTCAGCATCCAGTCCAGAAATCACTAAACAGATCCACAATGAAGCCTAGATCACCATCAAAGGATTCCTTAGATGTGCAGAACTCCTACTAAACTGGAAAACACAACTGCTCTAATAAAGCACAAGCTCCCTAGGCTGAGCTAAAATAGAGATGGGGCACAAACAGGCAGAAGGTGGGGATGGACCCCCAGCTGGGGCTGCTCAGTAGGACAAAGGCCTATTAGCTCACCCTGGGACAGCTCATCCCTGCCTCAAAATGCCCCTTTCTCACCCTTGAATGCAGTGGAAGCCCAGAGTCACCAGCTCAGATGTTAGCATCCAGACACTACATATGGATAACCCCACTGGGGATGGAAAACTGGGCACGCAAGTGTGCACAGAGGGACAGCAGCAAATACAGAGATGGAGTCACTTGTGCTTCAGTTTCTATTTGAGGACCCTCTGCAAGATCTGAAATGTCTCTAAACCCATTCCCATTCTGTTGCCAATGTGAAAGTGAAATCTTTGAATGGTCCACAAGTATGTCAGAAGCATCATGTAAGCTGGTCATCACTGCTGCTGTGTATCTGTGATCATGGCTCCATCACTCCATGTCTCTCAGATGCCCAAGCACCACAATGCCTTTCAGAGGTGATTTCACACCCTTTGCTTTTCCTTCTCTTTGTTTTCCTCTGGGAAATCATGAGCAGCCCTGGAGGCTTCCTCCCAGGAGAGCACATGCAACTGTATTTACAGCCCCAGCACCACAAGCTGGGCTCTTGGAGTCTGGCAGGAGCTCCCCTCTCTTCACATCAGGTGCTTAACAGAGCTGATGCTGGTGCGTGGATGTTCTCTGCTGCACTGGGGATAAACTCTTGGGTCCCATCACTCGCTGGCAGAAGGAAGGCACAGGAGGTAACACCAACCGAAAGCAGAGCCTCACCTGCACTGAGGCAGTGGGCTTGCTTCTGCATGTCCTCAGGTCGTCTTTTTACTGTCTTTGTCAGAGAAGAGCCTTACCAAAGTGAGTTTTCTTCATGAGAAGAGGGAGCAATGTCTGGTGCAGGCTGTGTTTCTTTCACATAGGCAGCTAAAGCAAGATGCACTGGTTTATTCAAGACTTCAATGAGGATGAATTTTATATTGTTATAAAGAAATGCAACAATTCAGATTGTCAGCAGAATATAGTCACTAAGAAATAGCCTTTGGAATAAGCACATTGTAATATCAGTTCCTTTTTAAAGCAAGCAACCCAATTCCTATGTGCTTAGGATGCTTCAGCATGCTGTAGCTCAGAAAGGTATAAATCATTAATTTACCAGTGCGAGTGTTATCTATTGTGAATAAGCTCCAATAGTTTGATAAATGGGGTTTGGTGACTGAATGATAATCAAAACCTAAGAGAAAATGCCCAGAGGTCATTCATCTGTAAGCTGTGATTTCACTGGGACTGGGACATTCTCTTGCTCCACGTTTACATGAGATCATATGAAATTACTCTGAGGTGTCTTCTGACACAAATTTCCTTCAAACTGTAAGCAAATAAAGATGTGATTCTTTGCTCAAACCCGTGTGCTTCACTAAATCCAGAGGTTTAATATTCTCAGCACAGAAAAGCAGAAATGCCATTTGCTGCTTCAACAAACTGCCTCTTCTCTCCTGAAAACCTCATCTGAAAAACATAAAATATATATCTTTTGGTTACAAAATATATTGGAGTATTTTAAAGTGTCACAGTTGAAATGGTCATTGATTGGAGTTAGATATGCTTTTGATCAGTGTGATATTCTCTTGCTTTTGCCTCAGCAGGTAACACCTGGTCATGAAAAGAAATCACACCCAGGTTGAATTCATCCTGTTGGGAATTACAGACAGCCCTCGTGTGCAGACCCTTCTTTTTGTCTTGTTTCTGTTGATTTACATCGTGACTCTCGTGGGGAACTTTGGCATTATCATCTTGGTGCGGGTGTCTCCCAGCCTCCACACCCCCATGTACTTCTTCCTCACCCATCTTGCCTTCACTGACATCTGCTATTCCACAGTCATCTCCCCGAGGATGCTGGCAGACCTGTTAGCAGAGGACAAAACCATCTCTTTCTCTGGCTGCATGATGCAGTTCCTTGCCTTCGCTTTCTTTGCTACTATCGAGTGTCACCTGCTGGCCATGATGGCCTATGACCGGCACGTTGCCATCTGCCAGCCCCTGCTTTATGTGACCATCATTTCCAGCCGTGTCTGCTGGCAGCTGATAGCATCATCCTACCTATTCGCCTTCCTCAGTGCCATCATCTGCATGTGGTGCGTCTTTGGAGGTTACTTCTGTGGTCCCAACCGCATCGACCACTTTTTTTGTGATGTAGTCCCTGTGCTCAAACTCGTGTGCTCTGACACCCACATCAATGAGATGGTCATCTTTGCCTTATTCACCATCAATATCGTGGGGGCAAGTGTGATCATTTTGCTCTCCTACATCTCCATCATCCGCACCGTGCTGAAGACGTGCTCAGCACAGAGCAGGGCCAGAGCCTTCCACACCTGCGCATCCCATTTAATGACTGTTTCCATGTACTTTGGGACAACATTCTTCATGTACCTACAACCTCCATCTAGTCACAGTAGCCTGGATAAGGTAGCCTCCATCTTTTACACTGTGGTCAACCCCATGCTCAACCCACTCATTTACAGCCTGAGGAACAACGAGGTGAAGGAGGCTCTGGTGAGGTGCGGGAGAAGGTTCTTAAACCGCTGGCAACATTAAACAGTTCTGTCATCGAGGACATGAACAATTCACCTCAAATGAGACAGCCTATGGGGCACTAAAACCATGGAATTTTCCCAATAATCTGCATGATTTGATGTAGGTCCTTCTGCACATACTGAACAAAAGCCAAGGACAGTGATGAATGAGAAAGAGACTCCCCAAATCACATCAAGACCATGCGAAAATTGATTCAGATTCAAGCAGGTACAATGACCGGTCCCAGATGTGCCTATCCATGACAAGCATCTCAAATGAAGATTACCCTGCTTATTGCAAGGGGCTTGGAACAGATGGTCTTTGGAGGTCCCTTCCAGCCCAAACTGTCCTATGATTCTATGATCCTTCCTCCGAAGGAAACCAAGAATAGTGAAACCTCAAACTTGAATTCACTTCTCAGTCACTTGTATGAAGAAATCACCCTGCATTGTCCCAGACCTCATTTCCTCACAGGAAACACCAATCAGCTTTCCTCAATTATAAATTTTGCCACTGATAAGTATCTATTTTTCTTCCAAGATTCTTGACCTTGTCCCTCAGCTCCAATAAAATCCCTCCCTCTTACCTGTGAGTTCTTTATTAAAGCTGCTGGGGTGGGAGGGAAGAGGAAGTGCAGTTTTACATTTGCTTGCTGAAAAAGAGTCAGAGAAAAGGTTTCAAAAGATTCATTGCATTTGTTTGTGCCTTTCAAAGAGAAGAGGGTGTGTGAATCAAGGTCTCAAGCTGCACCTTTGAATGTCAAGGGGAATCCCTCCCCTGGCTGCAATTTCACAAGAGATTTCACTTAAAGGAAGAAAGCGTAGACAATATCATTCATAATATAGCATGATGAACTGTGCTGAGGCTACCCACTGTTAAGGACAATTTGGGCACATTAAGGGGTCATCCCATTCACTTTAAGTGGTGTTTTACATTCATCTTAACTGCCATTTACTTAAACGGTGTGATACATAGAATTCAGGCACGAGACAAGCACCCACATTCCATGCCCATGCTTAACTCGTGCTAGTGCACACGGGAAATACCAAATAGTGTATTTCATAGAGGAGGTAAGACAGTTGCTCATTTCCACAGATGAAAGACAATCCTGAACACAGAATTAATCCTAACCGAGAGCTGTCTGGGTCTCAGAGAAGCCAAAACACACCAATGGGGGAAAATATCTTTCCTTTACCTGCTCTGAGTGGGAATTAACTGATATTTTGAACATAATACAGATGGTGAACAGTTTTTTTTGTGTGCTCTGGCAAACAGCAGCAAGAGATGAGATGTTGTCATTTGTCTGTGGGAAAGTGGCTTCAACCTCTGCTCGGTGAAGGAGGCAAAACCGATATAATCAGATGCTAAGGAGCTTGGCAGGACAGAGACCTTTGATATCATAGAATCATAACATCATAGAATAGGTAGGGTTGGAAAGGACCTTAAGATCATCCAGTTCCAACCCCCCTGCCATGGGCAGGGACACCTCACACTAAACCATGGCACCCAAGGCTCTGTCCAACCAGGCCTTGAACACTGCCAGTGATGGAGCATTCACAGCCTCCCTGGGCAACCCATTCCAGTGCCTCAGCACCCTCACAGGAAAGAACTTCTTCCTTAGATCCAATCTAAACTTCCCCTGTTTCAGTTTGAACCCATTACCCCTTGTCCTATCAGTACAGTGCCTAATGAAGAGTCCATCCCCAGCATCCCTATAGGCCCCCTTCAGATACTGGAAGGCTGCTATAAGGTCATATCAGAGTACTTCCTATAAAAACTGCACCACACCTTGTTTTCTTCCTCTATTTTGTTGGATATTGCTGCTTAGACTATACATATAAAATCTTAGAGCCACAAAAAGCCCAAGTTGGGACTCAGAAATCATCTGGCCCAAGATTTGGTGGGAAAGGGAGCCTAGAAGAGAAGTGTCATCTGTAGGGTTCATTACCCCACTCTGGTGTCTTTATTTCCTCTTGGCTTTAATAAAGTTCTCAAAGCACAGAAACTGAAATGCTCAAACATTTATCATGGCTCTATGTTCCCAAGAGAGGTTTTGATTGCAATAGCCTTGTATGTAGTGGATTCAACATTGTGATTGTCCAAGGGGAACCTCAGTCTAATGTGCAGGGGGGCACAATTGTCAATTCCAGCAATTTAAGAAACAGGTTTGAGGTTCTGGGAATACCTTTTATACTGAAAGCATCATTGCATGATTCTGCTTCAATCTTTGCAGAGGAAAGGGTCTACATAATGTAGTAACTCCCGGCTGTAGACACAAAATTCCCACACCAAATACATACCAGATTTCCACTCCATCAAAGTCTAATATTGGTAAAGGAGAAGGCACTATGAACCAGAGGATGACACTTGTATATAGCGTTCAATTCATTACTCTATTTCCCTCACTGAGAACGCTATCTTCTATTCTGCCCATGCAGGGACACGCTCCAAAGAGAGAGGGACAGTCAGAGCAGTGAGCACTGTTGGGTGCAAAGGATGATGGGTTCTACTCTGCAGGAGCCTGGGGACTGCCATAGGGGTTTGTCTCATTCATCTCTTTAAACAAACTCAAAGGGGACATCAGGGTGTACAGGGACCATCCCACAGTACCTGAACTACAGAAATATGGCAGGAACAGAGACCTGGGCCAAGTTCAGCCAAGACTCCAGAGCATCAGGAAACCAGGTGATGATGAGGCAGGTCCAAGGGCAAAACATGTCAATCCAGATAAAGTATACCCCCTGGTCAGGATCAGGTTCAGCAATGCCTAGGGAAATCCATTAGCAAGCCTAGGTCACCATCAAAGGATTTCATAAGAGTGCACAATTCCTGCTAAACAGGAAACCACAGTGCCTCTAATAAAACTCAGCCTCCCTGGAGTGAGCTTAAATAGAGAGGGGGGGCAATTGGGCAGGGGGTGGGGATGAAGCCCCAGCTGAGGCTGCTCAGGGGGATAAAGGCTGTTAGTTCACCCTGGCACAACTCATCATAGCCTGGAAATGCCCATTTCTCGACCTTGAATACAGTGGAAGCCCAAAGGCACCAGCTCAGCTGTTGGACATCCAGGCACTGCATGTGTATAACCCCACTGGGGATGGAAAACTGGGCTCCCAAGTGTGCACAGAGGGACAGCAGCAAATCCAGAGATGGAGTCACTTGTGCTTCGTGTCCCATTTGAGCAGCCTCTGCAAGATCTGAAATGTCTCTAAAACCCATTCTCATTCTGCTGCCAAGGTCAGACTAAATTCTTTGTATAGCCCACAAGTATGTCAGAAGCATCCTAGGAGCTGCTCATCACTGCTGCTGAGTAGCTGTGATCAGGGATGGCTCATCCACACCATGTCTCTCAGATGCCCAAGCACCACAATGCCTTTCAGAGCTGATTTCACACCCTTTGCTTGACAACAAGCAAAATCCATCCAGAGCATCAATCTCTTCATCTCCAGGTACACTGATAAAGCCCAGGAACAATTTGCTGCAAAAATACGGATTTAAGGAGATGTCTTCCTCCTTCTCCCTCGTTGAGCGGAGGGAGTCGGTGACAAGTGAATGTCCACATGATTCATCCCTGATTATTCTCATAACTTTCTCAAGTTGCTTTCCTAAGGCTACTTAACAGGATTTCAGCATTGCAAAGAGAGTTCCTGAAGCCATTTCTACACTCAGAGTTACCCCTTGTTAACATCTTCATGTATAACCCATTCCAAATGTTGATTTTGCCTTTGCTGACTTCACTAAGACAGTAATCGTCCCCACACCAAGTTTTTATCATCTTCTTGGTGTTTTTCTTTCATTTTGCTATGAGCAGTGATGAGAAGAGCAAGAAAACAGCAACCACCTGAACTCAAATCAACACCAGAACTGCAGTAGTACCTAAACAAAATTCTTTTCACTGATATCTGTCTACTAGGTCCAAGTGTTGTGACACGTATTACCCACCATACTGTGCTCTTGGTGTGTGGAGTCAGGAAACAGTTCCCTGTCTACTTACTTCAAGAGATTTTAGTTTATGGAGTTGGAGATGTCCCTGTGTTAGTTTGTTTCACAGAATCCCAGACCGGTTTGTGTCAAAAAAACCTCAGAGCTCCTCCAGTCCAACCCTGCCATGGGCAGGGACCCCTTCCACTGGAGCAGCTTGCTCCAAGCCCCTGTGTCCAACCTGGCCTTGAGCACTGCCAGGGATGGGGCAGCCACAGCTTCTCTGGGCACCCTGTGCCAGCGCCTCAGCACCCTCACAGGGAAGAGCTTCTGCCTAAGAGCTCAGCTCAGTCTCCCCTCGGGCAGGTTCAAGCCCTACAGGCCCTTGTCCAAAGCTCCCCTTCAGCTTTTTCTCACTCCCCTATTAAGGCATTCAAAGGCCACATTAAGGTCTCCCTGGAGCCCTTTCCCCCTCTTGCTGCCCATTACAGTCCTTTTATCGCACTTCCCATCTGATCCTTCCCATCTCCTTTCTTCCACTATCGGGCACCTCTCCCTCAAACTCTCCTTTCTGCCTTCAGTTTCCAGCACAATGGGTGGAAAAAGTTAACAGCACCATCAAGGAGAGCACAAGGACTGGGGCTGCCTCAGTCCCCAGAGACTTCAAGAAACAAATTCCCCAGGAAAGCCTTTCCAGGCAGAGGAACGACACGAGGGTGACCATGAGTAACCAGTATGCATGTACCAAGGGTAAGTTAAGCCTGGCCAACCTGAGTGCCTTGGTTGATGTGAGCACAGAAGCTTGGATGAAGAAGAAATAGTGGACAGCATTTACCTCACTGTTAGCAAGCTCACCACGATCTTCTGTTGGCTCCTTTGCAGCCAAACTTGTGAGCTATGGTTTAAGTACAAGGAATTGAAGATGGGCGGAAAGCTGGTTCATTGCCTGTGGTGCCTGACATTGCTGATGGACCCTGGTACCAGCTCCAATTGGCAAGGTCCCTCTCACCTCCCTGCCATCATAATGTCAACTATGGCACCTGTGAAGCTGTAGGTGCCTCAGAAATGCTCCAAAAGTGGATGTGAAAGGTGGGGTTGTTCTG